TGACTAGTTTTTCTGTGTTTAGTAGTGACAGGGTCTCTCACTCTTGCTCAGTCTGGTCTTGAACTCGTGAGCTCCAGCAATCCACCTGCCTAGACCTCCCAGAGTGCTAAGATTACAGGCATGAGCCACCATGCCCAGCCTTGTTAATAGAATAATAAATACTCCTGTCCCCAAAGAGTAGTCAAGTTTTAACAAAGACATTCTCTAGGATGTAAGTTTGATTTTAAGATTTCTCAACTTACTAAACTTTATATACTGTATCACCATAGTTAATGTAAATTGGTTCATGCAAACACTCCCACAGGCACAAAGATAAGCCAGTTCTGACGCTTCCCTCTGGAGCAGCCACTCCTGAAGAGAGTGCGTGGGTGTGTGATCTTAGGAATTGGGCACTGCCTTTGTGACAAGCAGCCCAGATTTAAGAGCAAGTGCTCTAAGGACCTGTCTTACAGCTTTGGCTCTCCTTCCCCCTTCCCAGCAACCCACCCGCACTTGAGATTAGACTTCCTTGAAAACCATTACTCTACACCCCAAAACTCAATCCTAAAGTTTTTGGCATTACAGGGTGTTTTGAGGGGAATTCCTTATGGGTCTGCAGAAAAGTTGTGTTTCTGGGAGGTTTTCATTTTAATAAGATTCTAAACAGAAATTCAGGCTCAGCGCCCATAGCTCAAGTGGCTAAGGCACCAGCCACATACACCAGAGCTGACGGGTTAGAATCCAACCCAGGTCTGCCCAACAACAATGACAACTACAACCAAAAAATAGCCGGGCTTTGTGGCAGAAGCCTGTAGTCCCAGCTACTTGGGAGGCTGAGGCAAGAGAATTGCTTAAGCCCAGGAGTTGGAGGTTGCTGTGAGCTGTGATGCCACAGCACTCTGAACACGGCGAAGTACAGGACCTCGTCTGTCAGCTGAGCCAAGTCGAAGCGATCTTCGTTCTCCTTGCGTTTGCCAATGTGCGAGGCGCAGCCCACGTTCTCCAGGCTGATTTTGGGGATGGGCTTGCCATACTTAATGCTGGGGGGCAGCAGAATGGGCTCATCGATGCGGTTATCCCAGATCCCAAAATTGTCCCAGGTGGCCGGACGCCCACTCCCGTCGGGGTCAAACCGAGAACACCTGGGGTCCGAGGTGGAGCTGTGGCACGTGGGCGACACGCGCCTGTCCTCCTGCAGCAGGCGGGAGCTCAGCAGCACTCGCCTTCTCACCTGGTTCCCGCCACTTCTGACCAGAGTAATTAGGGCAGCTGTGGACATCACTCCAGAGGAGGCAGCCAGGACCGAAAGCTCGACGGAACAATAA